CCCCCCCCCCCGCCCCCATGGCCCAAATCCATACTAACACACACACACACGCACACACACACACAAAGACATACACACCTACACCCCACACAGACACACAGGCACGCTACGACTCTTCTGTGTTTGGGCACATGATGTTGTAACGGAAGTTTATTGGAACGGAAAAAAAAGAGGTATGTGCGTGTGTGTGTGTGTGTGTGTTGTTGGTTGGGGGTGTCGTCCAGTATGTCAGTCATTGCCGGTAGACTTATGTGCATCACCCGTATGTCGTTACAACCTATTGGGCTTGAATTACTAAATGGTCTACACATTGTTCAAGAAATTCATAGGTCCTAATCACGGATTTATTTGTGTTGATCAAGTATTTCATCTCTATAATAGTTATTAATTTAGTCATTTCGGCAGGGAAATAAGGGGGGGGGGGGTGGGGGTAGCATGAGCCTCCTTCTCATACACCGCGGGATACCATGACTCAGATAACATATCTCTCCTTGTCACATGCTGGGGGATCCATGGCTAAAACAACCTGAGCCTCCTTGTCATATACTGGGAGATACATGTCTCACACATCATGAACCTCCTTGTCATATAATGGGTGATACATGTCTCACACAACATGAGACTCCTTGGCATATACTGTGGAATCCCATGTCTCATATAACATGACGTCAACATTCTGTCAGTAGGCCAGAGAAGCAGGAATTTGAAAGCAATGCATGGCTGACTTATAAATTGGGTCGATGGACCAGATTGGGAAATGTTGGGCTATGTTACCTATTCAAAATGTGCTTTGTGAATTTAAAAATTAAAACTCTGCAGCTTCAGCAAACATGTAGAACACCTGGTCAAGAACATATCAGGGGTTCGTAGTGTCTTAATGTGGAATGAACCTGGTATGTAATACTTCCATCTCCCACCGAAATCTACACAATATGACTTCAGTTCCTCCATACATGTATTAAGACATAAGTTCCTCCATACATGCATTGAGACATCAGTTCCTCCATACATGCATTTAGACATCAGTTCCTTGTGCATGTTTTACGACATCTCATCCTCCACCCACTCTTTTTGACACCAGTTCCTCCATACACGCATTAAGACACCAGTTCCTCCATACACGCATTAAGACACCAGTTCCTCCATACACGCATTAAGATACCAGTTCCTCCATACACGCATTAAGACACCAGTTCCTCCATACTCTTGACAAAAGGGTGACAAACCTAGGGGCCTTAAGATTGTTTCTGCACGAGAAGCGCAGTAACTTGGTGGAACATACTGTTGAAAAGGCGCTATTAAAATCAGACCCATATGGAATTTTGGTAGAACGGAGATTAAGGATCAAGAAG